CATGAAAATACAAAGTCACTTTGACAATGAAATAGAGGAAAAATTGGGAAAATACATCCAGTCATTGTTTTAGTAGTGGTCTGTGGATGTCTTCCCAAACACAGATGAAGAGAGGGATATTGTTGGGTTGAAATTAAGTTTACTACATTGCATATCCAATTGATTTGCATTCCGCTGTGTAATACACAAACCACATAGACCATACAGTGAGGGAAAAAAGTATTTGATCCCCTGCTGATTTTGTACATTTAGCCACTGACAAATAAATGATCAGTCTATAATTTTAATGGTAGGTTTATTTGAACGGTGAGAGACAGAATAACAACAAAAAAATCCAGAAAAACGCATGTCAAAAATGTTATAAAATGATTTGCATTTTAATGAGGGAAATAAGTATTTGACCCCCTCTCAATCAGAAAGATTTCTGGCTCCCAGGTGTCTTTTATACAGGTAACGAGCTGAGATTAGGAGCACACTCTTAAAGGGAGTGCTCCTAATCTCAGCTTGTTACCTGTATAAAAGACACCTGTCCACAGAAGCAATCAATCAATCAGATTCCAAACTCTCCACCATGGCCAAGACCAAAGAGCTCTCCAAGGATGTCAGGGACAAGATTGTAGACCTACACAAGGCTGGAATGGGCTACAAGACCATCGCCAAGCAGCTTGGTGAGAAGGTGACAACAGTTGGTGCGATTATTCGCAAATGGAAGAAACACAAAAGAACTGTCAATCTCCCTCGGCCTGGGGCTCCATGCAAGATCTCACCTTGTGGAGTTGCAATGATCATGAGAACGGTGAGGAATCAGCCCAGAACTACACGGGAGGATCTTGTCAATGATCTCAAGGCAGCTGGGACCATAGTCACCAAGAAAACAATTGGTAACACACTACGCCGTGAAGGACTGAAATCCTGCAGCGCCCGCAAGGTCCCCCTGCTCAAGAAAGCACATATACATGCCCGTCTGAAGTTTGCCAATGAACATCTGAATGATTCAGAGGAGAACTGGGTGAAAGTGTTGTGGTCAGATGAGACCAAAATCGAGCTCTTTGGCATCAACTCAACTCGCCGTGTTTGGAGGAGGAGGAATGCTGCCTATGACCCCAAGAACACCATCCCCACAGTCAAACATGGAGGTGGAAACCTTATGCTTTGGGGGTGTTTTTCTGCTAAGGGGACAGGACAACTTCATCGCATCAAATGACGATGGACGGGGCAATGTACCGTCAAATCTTGGGTGAGAACCTCTTTCCCTTAGCCGGGGCATTGAAAATGGGTCGTGGATGGGTATTCCAGCATGACAATGACCCAAAACACAAGGCCAAGGCAACAAAGGAGTGGCTCAAGAAGAAGCACATTAAGGTCCTGGAGTGGCCTAGCCAGTCTCCAGACCTTAATCCCATAGAAAATCTGTGGAGGGAGCTGAAGGTTCGAGTTGCCAAACGTCAGCCTCGAAACCTTAATGACTTGGAGAAGATCTGCAAAGAGGAGTGGGACAAAATCCCTCCTGAGATGTGTGCAAACCTGGTGGCCAACTACACGAAACGTCTGACCTCTGTGATTGCCAACAAGGGTTTTGCCACCAAGTACTAAGTCATGTTTTGCAGAGGGGTCAAATACTTATTTCCCTCATTAAAATGCAAATACATTTATAACATTTTTGACATGCGTTTTTCTGGATTTTTTGTTGTTGTTATTCTGTCTCTCACTGTTCAAATAAACATACCATTAAAATTATAGACTGATCATTTATTTGTCAGTGGCCAAATGTACAAAATCAGCAGGGGATCAAATACTTTTTCCCCCTCACTGTATCTAGTATTTCATGCATAAATCAGCAAGGATAATCACATAATGAAAATGTGGTTGATAAGTCACTTCTTCCTGCGCTGCCAAAATACCCAAGAGAAGTGATATTCACTGCTCTGTGGAGAAAATTAGTACACTGATATAACATTAACTAATTAAATATTTCAGGTACCAAGAACTACAGTCATAGTAACAATTATAATTAGCCTTACTACTCATCAGTGGCTTACTCATTCAGTTGTACAAATCACTTCCCCTCTCAACCAGTCGCTATAACAACTATCCACCAGGAAAAAAATTATGTATAATATCTTTCAAAATAACACTCTCAAGTCGCATCCGCCCAGCCTACAGAGAACACCTGTCTTTGACAAAAATCACAAACACCCTCTCTCACACTCAAATATAAAAGCAAGTGCTTGACTGCTTGCAATTCAAATGATAGATTTCCATTTTTACAACATGTCAAAAGGATGAATACAAGTCGTTGAATATTCAGAGTCAAAGCGGGTGTCACTGAAAACCCATATCCTTTTATCTATTAACCTTTGGTCCGCTGGCCGTGGACAGCTCTCCTCCACGCCTGGTTATTGATGTCTTCTAATTAGTCTTTTGCTTCAGTTAGATCCCCTACCTTGTAATTCATCGGCTGAGCTCTTTTGTCCTTTAGAAATTGCAAAATAATTTCTTCTGATTTGGTGATTTACAGTTATTGCATGGTGATGCCCTTGTGAGGTAATTTGATGCTGAACTCACCATATCTCAAGGTTGTTGTCCCTTAATGTGCAATTTAGATTTCTAAAGAGATGCATGCTGGGTTATAGATGGAGACAGGTATCTGTTGGACAAACCCCAACCTGAAGAGTCCCCTTCAGATTTTAGATACAGTGCGTCATCCCACCATGGCCATAACTCACCTTGGATCAGTGGTGAAACGAAGGGGACCATTATACCTGATTCACTTTATAGGCCCGAACAAACTGTATGCTGTGGTTTCTCTGATAATTCCTTTTCACATTGTCCTTTACAGCATTGTTACAGCAGCTATGGTAAATGCATAATCAGGCCAGTACAGTTCGGCATGGCTTGGCTCAGTTTGGCCCTGTGAATCAGGCTTTAGAAACAGTACGTCATCCAACCAGGGTCATAATTCATCCTGGATCAGTGGTGAGACCAGTCGAACCATTAGCGGGGCTGTAGAGGGTTAATGTGCTACTGGTTCCAGGTCAGTTGCTGTGCATGCAGTCATCATAGGAGAGCTTTATGCTCGGATGCCTCCCATCTTCCGCTCAACACAACACTAAATCCATCGGTTTTAGATAGTAGGCTATACAGCTATGGACAGAATTTACTTTTTTGTAGCAGGTTAGGAGAACTTACGCAGCAGGTTAATAGAAATGAACGTAGCAGGTTAGGAGAATTAGATTAAGGGTTAGCTAAAATTGTAAAATTCTCCCCGACGTGACTCAAACATGCAACCTTTTTACCGTAGCTTTATACCACAACCAATATATCAACCAAGATACCACAATAAGCCTTGATCCACTTTAATCGTGTTAACTCCTGATAGGCCCTGCAGGATCTGTGGGATGGACGTTCACTTCTAGCATCTGTTGGGGGGCTGTGACTCTTGATTAACCAAAGTCGCTACATGGAAGAAGGTCTCTACTTTGGTTACCTTGACTGTCCACAGTTATATGATTGAATGGTTAGGAGGAAAGACTAGTAAAAAACAGACGTCAGATGACCCAATGGGCACAGACGTCAATTCAATGTCTATTCTACGTTGATTCAACGTAATTTCATTGAAATTACGTGGAAACAACGTTGATTCAAACATTGGGGAGTGAGGAAGGGAAAGTGACAACTGTGACTTTTCTGAGAAGTATCTAAATCGAATTCATGTTTTGTATACATCAACATAGTATTTGTATTATTATCTATTTACAGTATAGCATCCATTAAGAAAAGATACTGTCTCTCATCTCATCTCGGCTCAAGAAATCTGCCTATAAACCAGACCCAGCTCGTGTGTGTATTGGACAGAGCACCACCAGGGCTCTTTTCTCCATCAATATCCGCTCATCTAATAAATGCACCAGATTGCGAAATGAAATTGAGTTTCATTTTCAGCCTGCGGCGGGCCATATTGAAACCTATTGATTGCCTCTGATTGCGTTTCTCACTTCAGGCCAGTCACGGCCCCATCCAACAACCCCCCCCCCCCCCCCCAGGTACAACAAACAGACACAGAGAACACAACTCAGCAAGACCACCGAACACACTGGCACTTAACCTTGAAACCCTGTTCAGAGTCCCTCTATGAATAATTCTCCTGAGAGAGGGAGGGAGAGAGCGCTAGAGGGGGGGAGAAAGAAGGAGGGGATAAAGGGAAGGAGGGGGAAATAGTGTGGGAGAGAGAAGGAGAACTAGAGAGCGCGAGTGAGAGAAAGAAAGGGAGGAGGAAAGAGGAGAGAAAGGGATAGTGAGAGAGAAAAGAGATGTAGAGGAAGACAGAGAGAGGTAGAGAATGGGTCATAATAGAACCACACAGATTGGGAGGAGAGGTAGAGGTGGAGGAGAAGGTGGGGGAGAAGGTGTGGAGAGGAGTAGAGAGAAGGGGAGGAGGAGTACGCCAGAAAGGTCACCAGGCAAAAATGATAAAGTCATCGATATTCGTTTTTCTCTGCTGGAAGACATTACTGCACTGTCGGAGCTAGAAGCACAAGCATTTCGCTACACCCGCAATAACATCTGCTAAACACGTGTATGTGACAAATAACATTTGATTTGATTTGAAGTCTGGTATTCATCCAAAAGACGAGCTATTTGTACCTGTGGTAGTCAAAGTAACAGCGATGATCAGGTCATTATTAAACATTCTCAATAAATAACTCATTGTAGGCCTATGCAGACCCAGCAGGTTCATATGAAGGCTGAAAAAAACCAAGTGATTAAATTGTTTTAACAAGAAGTAAAGTAACTGCAAGATGCTACAGAAAAGTGCTGCGTCCACATTACAATGGCCTCAGCTCCGGTTCAGATATGGCAAACCGGGCCTATAGCTGTAATCATTAAAGGGGTTAGTGGTGGTGGAGGTGGCATCGGGCCAGTAGTGGCTAAGGCTTGCTGGAGACGACACCCTGCAGAGCCATTTGTGAAAACCAATAAAGTTCCTGAAGGTCAGGGACACTGCTAGTCCTGGAGGGCCCCTGTCCTCCCCTCCTCTGCTCCTCTCCTCTCCTTTCCTCCTCCTCTTCTTTCAGCTCAGCCTGAGCCACTAATGCAAGAAATAAGAAATCAGCTCCAAAGACCCTGAGTGGCAAGAGGCCCCTTCACTCAGAAAAGCTCTAAGAGAGGGAGTGTGTGACTACAGGATTTTATTTCCTGTTGTACCGTTGTACCGTTGTACCCACAAGAGCTACAAGGGGAGAGCCAGAACAAGATTGACAAACAAGGGTTTGGTTTAAAGCAGGAAAAGGTCAGACAGTAGGGGAGCGATGGTGGCCCAAAAAGTTTTGCCGCAAACGATGTAATCATTCCATTAAATTTTTTGGGATTGACTAAATTAATTTACCTCAAACTGCGAGGGGTTTGGTTCGTAACACTGTCTGGCCTTTTTAAGTGAAAGCAATTTAGTTCTCGAAATTAGCCATGTCTGGGCTTCTACAAGACGGGGTGGCCTATTAGGGCAGCTGAACCCCTCCCTTACAGTCTCAACGCTCAAGATCCTCCAGATGTGCCTGTGCATATCTCTGGCTGATTGGCTGTGATTTCTCTAAGCGGGTGGAGGACTTAGTCCGACATTGTCGAGAATGTCAACGCAGGTCAATCAGTCTGTTGTCATCTGGCTGAGGGAGTCCAATTATCTCCCAGCCAATCAGCGGTATTGTACATGTGGTCCATATGCAAATAGACTGGGCTGATTTTGATTCCTTAATTGGCTTAAAAATCACCAGAATGTTGTTTGGCAGGCTACAGTGTCCCATAGCTTCATTGATTGCTTTCGGTATGGCTTTCTCAAAAGGTGAAATGTGGAACTGTGACCCAAGCCCGATGTTGATTTGCCTCTTGTATCGAACCAAACACACCTGTTCTGAGGGATCAGTGTGGATATACATGTTTGGCTTGGCCGCCTGCTTTGTTGATAAGAATGAAAAAGGTCACAAGCAAAATTTGCCTGAGCGCTTAATTCATCACATTAGAGTGACAATAAATTCAGCTGCTTTTAACGGTGGAGAAATGCAGCAATGCAGTCTATTCAGAGGAGCTCTCCATCATCCTGTCATAAAGCTCTATTAGGGGGAGTGCACAGTGTTTCTCAACATATAAATCAATTCACTAATATCACTGGAACATGGTCGGTGACCACACTCACCAGAGGCCGGGCTGCTGGGGGGGATCTCTTCGGTCTTCAAACGTGGTTGAAACACTTACACACACGCATGCACACACATGCACGCTTGCAGGCACACATGTATGTCCGTACGCACGCACACACACACACACACACACAGTCTTATTTCACAACACAATCCTACTGGAATATAAAAAGCAAAAGCAATTCCAGGTGCAGTACAAACATTATTACTGTTATTGATGGTAATGAATGGTGTGGTATGGATGGTGTTGGACAGAGTAATAGCCCACACTGGTTGGACCTCTTTCTGGGTCATACGTTTTAAACCACCAGACTCACATACCATGCACAGCCTATACTCTAACGGTGGCCATATTGAAAGTCAAACACGGGGTTCAGTATTCTGCACAGTGGCTGAGGATGTGTGGCTGAAGCATACACTAGGGGCCTCTAAATCCATGTTTAACTGATGATAAGCTGGTGACAAGGACAGCTTACTGACTATGGTCTCCCTCTGGTCACACTGGAATAAGATAAGGAGATTTAACTACCACTGTGTGACTAGGGGAAATGGGTGCACTGGGGATAGTTGTCTGTAGCCTACATAATATATTCGCTAAGCCAAAACAGGATCTCACCTATAAAGAAAACTTTCTTTGACATTCTTAATTCAAATGGCAAATCAGTAAATGAACATTCACATTGGTGCATTTAACATAGCTATTAACATTAAATCTAACAGATTATGAGGTCATACTTTATTTGGATAGTCCAGATAGTCCATCTGTAGATGCTTTACAGATGGTCATACTATCAACAAACTACTGTTGATAAGCAACTGCTTGCTAAGGTTAGGGTTAGGTTTAAGGGTTAGGGCTATTGTTAGGGTAAGGGTTAAGTTTAGAGTCAGGATAAGGTTAGGGCTATGGTTAGGGTTGGTAGATAGTTATTTGAAATGTTGCTGATAGTCTGTAGAGTGTCTACAGAAGGATTTACCAAATAAGTGTTACCGATTAGGATTATTATAAGGGGTTCAATACAAATAATTCCATGCAGGAATGAAAACAAACCGCTTTGACGCTGTCAACCTTAAAGAAATCCTAATGTCCAGAAAGTGGCCTTTCTGTATTTAATTAGCAGCTTTCCATTGCTCCTCCATCAGCCTGAGAGAGAGTTGTTTTAATTCGAGCACTGACATCTTAAATTAGTCAGCCACTTAATTCTCTGTAATGCTGCACACAGCACACTTATCAGTAATGCTAATGTGACAGGGGCCACATATATAATGCTGAGTGGGATGCTGGCACACACACACACACACACACACACACACACACACACGCAAAATCGCATGCACACACACACATACACATGCACACACTGGTAAAGATGCAGGCATCCTTGCACACAGACACATGCACACATGTAAGGACGGATGCATGTACTCCCGCAATCGATAAAACACAAACACACTGTGGTCATATGCGGTCATTCGAGGTTAACTCTTGGTTGTGCTATTAACTAATGTTAGTCATTTCATGTTGAGGAGATGTCTTGACAGTTGACTCCATTGGATTTCAATAGAGGGCTACAGCGCATACATTTTTTCATTTAATTCATATTTTAATCAAATGTACATGTTTGTCTATGGTGGGCTGTGTTGATAATGTTATGTGCAACCCAAAAATGTCTTCTTAGACATGATAAGGGACAGAGCTAACTTTACTGGGGGGGAGGGGCTGGTCCAACTCAAGGTGTCATAAACAAAATGCACCCCCCTCCCCAAAGTAAAACATATTTTCAAATGATCCTCCCCTTCTACTGTAAAATAAATTGAACACCCTCCCCTCTCATAGAATTAACTCAAAATAATGTTTACGACCACAAATAACAATAACTGTAGCGACCCTGTGTTTATAAATGTGGATGTCGACTTTGCCACTTCAGCATGCTTTTGTTGCACAGTCGATGCCACGCAGGGCTACGGGCCATAAAGTTGAGGGTTCACCGACCACCACACACAAGATCACTCTCCCTGCCTGTTTCATTACATTATGATCACAGCTGGTTGCAGACAATGATCAGTTAGGGGGAAATCAGATTTTCAAAATTGTTATGCCATATTTATAATGATATAAAATATATGCAACAAATTTTCCACCAACAGGTTTCGACGTGACGATGTAGAATGACAGTTCCTCGTGGTGCTCCGGTAGTGTGGGAATGGTGATGGTGATGGGGAGAGTGACGTGCGTAATGGTGCCTGATCCAAGTGGTTTATTGTCCAGCAAGGTGACGTGTAGCGGAGATGGCAGTGGCATGGTTGGCAACCCCCATTCAGAGACCAGCTCCCTATCTATAAGGTTCCCCGCTGATCCGGAATCTATCATTGCAGTGGAAATGTAGGAGAAGGAATAACCAGTCGCCGTTATGGGAACTAAAAACAATGTTTTTGTGATAGGATATGACGTAACACTCACGGAGCGGCGACGGGAGTCATACCGCCTAGATAGGGAGCCACCAGGAGGTCTGTGGTCCGTGGCGGTGTAGGGGGTGCTGCCCACCTCCATGGGTGAGGACTCGGAGGCAGGGCGGCTTCCATAGCTCAGATGGGGTGAGCGTCGAGGCTCCGGGAGGTGTTGGGAACGCCGTCTGTCTCTCAACATATCGTCGAGACGGATGGACGTGGCGATGAGGGTATCAAGGTCCATCTCGTCGTTCCGACATGCGAGTTCCGTCTTGATGTCCTCCCGTAAGCCTCTCCTGAAGGCCGTGCGCAGAGCACGCTCATTCCAGCCGGAAGACGCCGCCACTGTGCAAAAGCTCAGAGCGTACTCGGACGCGGGCCCCTCTCCCTGTTGTAGATGGAGGAGACACTCACCCCCGTCCTTTCCCTCCGTGGGATGATCAAACACCGCCCTGAACCGAGTGAGGAAGGTGGAGTAGGGAAGCGCCACGGCCTCACCTCCTTCCCAGACAGCCGTGGCCCAATCCAGCGCCTTTCCTTTAAGTAGCGAAATCACCAGCGCTATCCTGGCTTGGTCAGATGAATATGCCCCAGGCTGACACGCCAGATAAAGTGAAACCTGTAGCAGGAAGCCGCTACATTTAGTAGTTTTACCGTCATAGTGCTCCGGTAGGGCGAGGGTTCCCTCAGAAGTGGGTGATAGCACGGGAACAGGTGGATTGGGTGCACTCGCCGGTTCCTGAGGTGGAACCGGAGTGTTGGGCAGATTATGCAGAGTTTGGAGCACTTCCTGCATGGCGGCATTCAACTGGGCAAGCTGCTGCTGGTGCTGGTCCAGGCACTGGGAAACTCCTGCTGCATCCATTTTCGTGAGTGGTGTGTAATTCTGTGACGAGTACTGAGTATACGAAGAGGCAGGACGCAGACGCAGGAATTAACAAGGTAAAGGTTTACTTAAACAATGAGAAAGAGAAATAACAAAGATAGAGTAAACGACACAAAGCTAAACAATCACACACAACAATGAACAAACAGTTGAGGGCTAAATAGTGGTGGTGATGAGATGATAAGGTGCAGGTGTGCTGGAGGTGATTAGGGTGCGTTGGGTTTCCATTCCTGTGTTTGCCGAGGTGGTGTGCTCAGACCGGTGGCTCAGTAGACCGGTGAATCAGAGCGCCGGAGGGGAGCAACGGGAGGAGACGTGACACATGCTTGTTTGGCTCATAGCTTGTTCTTTAGATGTTTGGTGCTGCTGGTGAACCATGATGTGCCTCCACCAAACGTTACAGTTGGCACTATGCATTGGGGCAGATAGCGTTCTCCTGGCATCCGCCAAACCCAGATTCGTCCGTCGTACTCCCAGATGGTGAAGCGTGATTCATCACTCCAGAGAACGTAATTCCACTGCTCCAGAGTCCAATGGCAGCGAGCTTTACACCACTCCAGCCGACGCTTGGCATTGCGCATGGTGACCTTAGGCTTGCGGCTGATCGGACATGAACCCCATTTAATGAAGCTCCTGACGAACAGTTCTTGTGCTGACTTTGCTTCCAGAGGCAGTTTGCAACTCGGTAGTGAGTGTTGCAACCGAGGAAAGACGATGCTTACGCATTACGTGCTTCAGCACTCGGCAGTCCCATTCTGTGAGATTGTGTGGCCTACCCCTTCGTGACTGAGCCATTGTTGCTCCTAGACATTTCAACTTCACAATAACAGCACTTACAGTTGACCGGGGCAATTGACTAACTGACTTGTTGGAAATGTTTAAAGTCACTGAGCTCTCCAGTAAGGCCATTATACTGCTAATGTTTGTCTATGGAGATTGCATGGCTGTGTGCTTGATTTTATACACCTGTCAGCAACGGGTGTGGCTGAAATAGCCGAAGCCACATACTTTTGTATATATAGTGCATAAAGCCAATATAAAGGAAGAGAAGCTTAGGCCTATCCCCAGAGAGATAGACATATGGTGGTGGCATGCTACGACACCGACATGCATTTCTTTATGCCAGGTGGCTACAGCGTCTGCTATACAGATATAGACATACAGAATTAGTTGATTTTCGATCCAATATTTTTTTAACCCTCCCGTTGTCCTAGGGTCAAAATGACCCGCCACTGTGTTGAACCAACTTTCTTTAATTTTTATATTTTTGGGATCATTTGTGAGAAGGAGGCAGTGAGACTTTAAAGAAAGTATCACTGCCTCCTTCTCACAAATGATCCAAAAAATATAAAAATTAAATAAAGTTGGTTCAACACAGTGGCGGGTCATTTTGACCCTAGGACAACGGGAGGGTTAAAAAAATATTGGATCGAAAATCAACTAATTCTGTATGTCTATATCTGTATAGCAGACGCTGTAGCCACCTGGCATAAAGAAATGCATGTCGGTGTCGTAGCATGCCACCACCATATCTCTATCTCTCTGGGGATAGGCCTAAGCTTCTCTTCCTTTATATTGGCTTTATGCACTATATATACAAAAGTAAAGACGTAATGCGTAAGCATCGTCTTTCCTCGGTCATTTTGACCCTAGGACAACGGGAGGGTTAAATAAACATAAGCATTATGAAGTTAGATCATAGGAGTAACGATGGTAGGCCTGAGACAGTCTTCCTCATCTCAAGTTCAACTGTCGGAGTCGGTTGGAGCGCTGGGGCGCACTGCCTTCATATCAAAGGCCTGCAGTAACGAAAGCTTAATAATAGCCACACCATACCAAACCTTCACAAACTTTTGTAAACTTGATTAGGTTAATATCAAAAGTAAGTCAAGCCATTGTTTATAGTGAAAATACGAGCAGAAGAGCAAATGTAAACCAGGGAAAAAACGCACTACCCTTCCCTGTGCCCCCCCCAAAAAAAATCACACAACCCTCCCCAAAGCAAAACAAAAAAGTTTGACAACCTTCCCCTATTTTGGACCACCCCTCCCCCCAGTAAATTTCAATCCGTCCCTAAACAAATAAGAACTGTTTGAATATACAATCCAGGGAAATGGCTTGTGCTGTGTTTCTCCTCAGTACTAAATCCTCTCTGCTAGTTTGTTGTCAATCGATAGAAGGCTTTTCACAGTGGTGAGAGCTCGGAATACAAAAGACCCCTGGGTAATACAGTCGGTCCCTGATGTCACAACTTCAATCTGTCAGTGTGTGGTAAACATATTTTAAAAATCGATAAAGAAAATATACCAACAGGCAATCTCTGTATGTGGTTCACATGGACCTGTCACACCCTGACTCAGGGGAGGCTTATATGTTGAGTCAGGGTGTGTATATTCCTTGTTGTGCTTGTTCTATGTTATAGGATCTAGTAGGCCTAGATCTATGTTGGCCGGTGTGGTTCCCAATCAGAGGCAGCTGTCGCTCGTTGTCTCTGATTGGGTTCCATACTTAGGCAGCCTATTGGCACTAGTGGGTTGTGGGATCTTGTTCCGTGTGAGGTTTGTTGTGTGTTACCTTTGGACGTCACGTTTAGTTGGTTTATTGTTTTGTCGTTGTTTATTAAGTTTAAAATAAACATGTATGCATATCACGCTGCGCCTTGGTCTGATCCGTCTATGAACGAACGTGACAGAAGATCCCACCAAACAAGGACCAAGCAGCGTGCCCAGAAGGAGCAAATGCCGGGGATTCAACGGGAGGTAACTTTAGTAGATATCCTCCTCGGTTGGGGGAGAATTACTGAGGAGGAGGCCGTCCGTTATCGGGAGGCGATGAAGGTTGATGCCCAGGTAGGAGAGGAGAAACGGCGCCAACCGTGCCGACGACGGAGACCCGAGAGGCAACCCCAAGAACATTTTTTTGGGGGGCAGACGGGGTGGATGACGAGGCAGCAGGAGGCTGTGGAAGGGCGAATCTGCAGGTTAGGAGAGGAGGCCACCAAGTTACGGGGGCTATTGGTTCAGAGGGAGCAGGAGTTATTCGGTCAGAGGGAGGCGCTACAGGAGGCTAAAAGGGAGAAGGAAAGTGTAGAGGCACGGCGAGAGGAGCTGATAAGGCAGCAGAAGGAGCGGGGGTTAATAAAGGAACCCAGTCCTGCTCCTCGCACCAAGCCAGTGGTGCGCGTCGCCAGCCTGGCCCGGCCCGTTCCTGCTCCTCGCACCAAGCCAGTGGTGCGCGTCGCCAGCCCGGCCCGGCCCGTTCCTGCTCCTCGCACCAAGCCAGTGGTGCGCGTCGCCAGCCCGGCCCGGCCCGTTCCTGCTCCTCGCACCAAGCCAGTGGTGCGCGTCGCCAGCCCGGCCCGGCCCGGCCCGTTCCTGCTCCTCGCACCAAGCCAGTGGTGCGCGTCGCCAGTCCGGTCCGGCCCGTGCCTGCTCCTCGCACCAGGCCAGTGGTGCGTTTGTCCAGTCCGGCACGGCCCGTGCCCGTTCCACCGGTGCCTGGTCCGGCACCGGTCAGCTGCTCCATTCCGGAGCCAGAGCAGTCCGCTCCACCGGTGCCTGATCCAGCTCCGGTCAGCGGCTCCACTCCGGAGCCAGAGCAGTCCGCTCCACCGGTGCCTAGTCCAGCTCCGGTCAGCGGCTCCAGTCCATGACGTCAGCCCCTCTCCAGGTTCGGGGTCTCCCACACCAGGGTCCAGACTGGGCCTGGCGTATCGTGGGAGGAAGGAGAGGGGAAGCAACGCGCCGAGGTCTAGACCAGACCAGGGGCGCAACAGGGAGGCGAAGAGTGAGAGGTCGTCACGCCCTGAGCCGGATCCGCCTCCGAGGCGGAATGCCCACCCGGCCCCTACCCTGTTATGTTTATGTTGTGCGGTCGGAGTCCGCACCTTTGGGGGGGGGGTACTGTCACGCCCTGACTCAGTGGAGGCTTATATGTTGAGTCAGGGTGTGTATATTCCTTGTTGTGCTTGTTCTATGTTTTAGGATCTAGTAGGCCTAGATCTATGTTGGCCGGTGTGGTTCCCAATCAGAGGCAGCTGTCGCTCGTTGTCTCTGATTGGGTTCCATACTTAGGCAGCCTATTGGCACTAGTGGGTTGTGGGATCTTGTTCCGTGTGAGGTTTGTTGTGTGTTACCTTTGGAGGTCACGTTTCGTTGGTTTATTGTTTTGTCGTTTTTTATTAAGTTTAAAATAAACATGTATGCATATCACACTGCGCCTTGGTCTGACCCGTCTATGAGCGAACGTGACAGGACCTGCCTTTTGTTTCGTTGTGATTCTCAAAAAGCTCTAAAGATGGTCCATTTACACCTGACACTGGATTTAATGTGGTCCTGATAAATTAATGTGTTTGAAAACATTGTACCCATTGAATATTTCAACGTAGCCCCTTGCCTCTTACCTGCTGCTCTGCCTTTCAACCTCCACTAGATGTATGAATGATGAATACATGAATAAGTGTACTTAATAAAGAGACACCCCTTGCCTCTTTGAATACATTCAATCGGTCAATGTAATGATATTAAAAACAAAAAACAATGTTTTAAGTGAGAAGTAGGCATTGGTCTGAAGTCGAAAAAGGAAGGAAATTCACATGAGCACCACAATGCATACTTCACCCATGCTCTACCAAGGTTTTCCAGCACACAGCTTTGACCTACTACAGTAGCTATGTTGGTCTGTTGTACTTCCAACAATGTGTAGGCAGGTTGCTTAGGATTCAAACATTCTCAAACAGCCTAGCTTAAAGTACCTTAAAATAGTTAATTTGCAACCATTAACTAATGATATGAAAATGTGCTTTACAGTTTACTGAAGAAAGGCCTAGTACTCATCAAGGCAAAGTGTGGCTGCTTTGAAGAATCTCAAATATAAACTATATTTTGATTTGTTTAACACTTTTTTGGTTACTACATGATTCCATGTGTGTTATTTCATAGTTTTGATGTCTTCATTATTATTCTACAATGTAGAAAATAGTAAAAATAAATAAAAACCCTTGAATGAGTAGGTGTGTCCAAACTTTTGACTGGTACTGTACATTCATCAGATATAGTACAATTAGTATATACAATTCAGGGATGGCCACAATTGCTCTTGAAGAGCTACAGGTTTATGATGGCTTTTTTTGTTCAAGCCCAGTTCTACCACACCTGATTCTACTATTCAAGGTCTTGATGAACAGTTGAGGTCTTGATGAACAGCTGAGTACTGGAATCAGGTGTGGTAGCAATGGACTTGAACAAAAAAGCCTGCAGAACTCTGTGGCTCCTCAATAGCAATTTTGGTAACTCCTGATACAAACACTGTGACAAATGAGAAACTGCTGAGAAACACCTGTAAAATACAAAGTCATTAGACAAGTACAAAATACTTTTAAGAATACATACACCATATATACACAACAGTATGTGGACACCCTTCAAACTGGTGGATTCGGTTATTTCAGCCACACCCGTTGCTAAAATCAAGCACACAGCCATGCAATCTCCATAGACAAACATTTTCAGTAGAATGGCCTTACTGAAGAGCTCAGTGACTTTCAACGTGGCACCGTAATAGGATGCCACCTCTCCAACAAGTCAGTTCGTCAAATTTCTGCCCTGCTAGAGCTGCCCCGGTCAACTGTAAGTGCTGTTATTGTGAAGTGGAAACGTCTAGGAGCACCAACGGCTCAGCCGCAAAGTGGTAGGCCACACAAGCTCACAGAACGGGGCCGCCGAGTGCTGAAGCACCTAGTGCGTCAAAATCGTCTGTCCTCGGTTGCAACACTCACTACCGAATTCCAAACTGCCTCTGGAAGCAACGTCAGCACAATAACTGTTTGTCGGGAGCTTCATGAAATGACCGAGCAGCCGCACACAAACCTAAGATCACCATGCGCAATGCCAAGCGTTGGCTGGAGTGGTGTAAAGCTCGCTGCCATTGGACTCTGGAGCAGTGGAAACGTGTTCTCTGGAGTGATGAATCACACTTCACCATCTGGCAGTCCGACGGACGAATCTGGGTTTGGCGGATGCCAGGAGAACACTACAGTGCCTTGCAAAAGTATTCATCCCCCTTGGCGTTTTTCCTATTTTGTTGCATTACAACCTGCAATTTAAATGGTTTTTATTTGGATTTTATGTAATGGACATACAAAAAATAGTCACAATTGGTAAAGTGAAATGAAAAAAATATCTTGTTTCAAAAAATTCTAAAAAATTAATAACGGAAAAGTGATGCGTGCATATGTATTCACCACCCCCTTTGCTATGAAGCCCCTAAATAAGATCTGGTGCAACCAATTACCTTCAGAAGTCACATAATTAGTTAAATAAAGTCCACCTGTGTGCAATCTAAGTGCCACATGATCTCAGTATATAGACACACCTGTTCTGAAAAGCCCCAGAGTCTGCAACACCACTGAGCAAGGGGCACCACCAAGCAAGCGGCACCATGAAGACCAAGGAGCTCTCCAAACAGGTCAGGGACAAAGTTGTGGAGAAGTAGGCGGCAGGTAGGGCGGCAGGTAGCTTAGTGGTTAAGAGCGTTGTGCCAGTAACCGAAAGGTCGCTGGTTCTAATCCCCGAGCCGACTAGGTGAAAAATCTGTCGATGTGCCCTTGAGCGAGGCACTTAACCCTAATTGCTTCTGTAAGTCGCTCTGGATAAGAGCGTCTGCTAAATGACTGAAATGAAATGAAATGAAGTACAGATCAGGGTTGGGTTATAATTTTTTAAAATCAGAAACTTTGAACATCCCACGGAATTGAACGAATACGGCATCACAACAAACCTGCCAAGAGAGGGCCGCCCACCAAAACTCACGGACCAGGCAAGGAGGGCATTAATCAGAGAGGCAACAAAGAGACCAAAGATAAACCTGAAGGAGCTGGAAAGCTCCACAGCGGAGATTGGAGTATCTGTCCATAGGACCACTTTAAGCCGTACACTCCACAGAGCTGGGCTTTACGGAAGAGTGGCCAGAAAAAAGCAAAATAAGCAAATAAGCAAACAGTCTCCCACATACCAAAAGGCATGTGCGAGACTCCCCAAACATATGGAAGACGGTACTCTGGTAAGATGAGACTAAAATTGAGCTATTTGGCCATCAAGGAAAATGTCTGGCGCAAACCCAACACCTCTCATCACCCCGAGAACACCATCCCCACAGTGAAGCGTGGTGGTGGCAGCATCATGCTGTGGGGATGTTTTTCATCGGCAGGGACTGGGAAACTGGTCAGAATTGAAGGAATGATGGATGGAGCTAAATACAGGGAAATTCTTGAGGGAAACCTCTTTCATTCTTCCAGAGATTTGAGACTGGGACGGAGGTTCACCTTCCAGCAGGACAATGACCCTAAGCATACTGCTAAAGCAACAATTGAGTGGTTTAAGGGGAAACATTTAAATGTCTTGGAATGGCCTAGTAAAAGCCCAGACCTCAATCCAATTGAGAATCAGTGGTATGACTTAAAGATTGCTGTACACCAGCGGAACCTATCCAACATGAAGGAGCTGGAGCAGTTTTGCCTTGAAGAATGGGCATAAATCCCAGTGGCTAGATGTGCCAAGCTTATAGAGACATACCCCAAGAGACTTGCAGCTGTAATTGCTGCAAAAGGTGGCTCTGCTCAAAAGGGGGGGGGGGGGGGGGGTTCTGTGTTTTTTGTCTTATTTCTTGTTTGTTTCACAATAAAAAATATTTTGCATCTTCAAAGTGGTAGGCATGTTGTGTAAATCAAATGATACAAACCCCCCAAAAATAAATTTTACTTCCAGGTTGTAAGGCAACAAAATAGGAAAAATGCCAAGGGGGGTGAATACTTTCGCAAGCCACTGTACCTCGTCGATTCCACCAGATTTTTTAAAACTACTTTTAGTTATAGAGTGTAGATAACAGAGTTGTTTATTGATGTGTAGGTAGCAGAGTTATTCTTGTCAATGGTATGATTACCTGTTCACACTCATCATATGCAGTTTGATGATACTGTATCATTCTACACTTTAAAGAGCACAAGTCTTAATCTTTCCTCTGTCTTTGTCTGTCTTTGTTGTAGGTGATCTGAATGATGCAGAGAAACACATTATGGAGAACCTGATACTTAACCTGCCAAATCAGTAAAATGCCGTCCTCAATCCCATACCAACAGGCTTTTTGAAACCTGCAGAAAACTATAATATTGCATTGGTTTGCTAATGTTAACGGACTGATAATATACGGATAGCACAGACAGCCGTGGTGTTGTGCTCAATAACATCACGGCTCAAACGCACTTTTGACCACTCAGATTGTGTGGTCGGGACTAATCATTTCATCATAATATTGAATGTAATCTCTCCCCCCTACAGAGTCTGAGGAGATGGGGGCGAAGGAGAAGCGGGGACTACAAACCAGGAGTTCATCATGCCCACCTGGTTGGCACAGTTATTGGACACACTGCTATCACTACGTCCCCATCTTGGCCAAATGGCCAGAGGCAGAGGTACTTGTAAATTGCTGTAAATAAATGTCCATATTTAGGGCCAGACTTACTCATTGTAAACGTCATAGGATTAGTATGTTTAACAGTGTTGCTAAACTAAAACTTGATGTGCTATTCCTTCTCTTTTTCTGCAAATTCAGAAACTCATGCAGAATCTATCATAATTCATTCAATTTAGATTTACAAATTACCAAACCGGTTCTCAGGCTTCGATAACACTGGAGGCCACTTTGGTCTCCACAGAGTTGGGTAAAGCTGTTTTTAGTTATTTTGCGCCCTTTATGTGGAACAACTTACAGAGCTCTCTGAAATGAGATGTTCTGGTCCCCCTTGGTCAGTTCAGAGTAATGATCGGAGACATCTATGTTGATAATATGCTATGTAATTTTGTATGTTGTATGTGTTTGATTGTATTTATACAGGGCTCATCTGTAAAAGAGACCCTAGTCTCAGTATGACTTAACTGTCAAAATAAAGGTTAAATCCAGCGCATCTGGATTGTAGCCAACGATGCCATCAAGGTCAGAAGCACTCTGTTTAACATATACAGTAGCATGTGTTGATCCTTTGAGGACATAACTTATAAATGCCTAGTATTGTCTCACCCGAAATATAAAGCTTGTTTTATTCCATTGTTTGTAAACAATGTAACTGTAAACATACACTGTGTAGCTTTAAAACATGGTTAAATAATTTTCATATCATGTATGATTAGGTCTGTCTATGAATTTGAGAGTGGTTACATTTCTCCAGTCCCATCCCTCAGCGGTTTACCAAAACACTGGCGAAGAGATTACACTTTCCTTTAAAGAACAGTAGTGTTTAGTGTCTGCTGGTTACACATCTGCCTGGATGCTCTTTAGGAGGGTCTTTGGCTGTGGAGCGACGGGTCCAGGTTTAGGTACCAGAACTGGGGCCAGGGGCAACCCGATAACAGCAACTATGGTGCTGGGAACGACAACACGAATGGCCATGAGCATTGCATGGAGATGAACTATTGAGGTACGATGCAGTTGCCAGAGCACTCTCCCTCACATTATGCATCAAACATTTTAATAGATGTAAAAATAAATCTTAAAAAGAGAATGTTCCTTTTTTAGCTACATAAAAAAACATCAATACAATACTTAGCTTTCTCTGTGTTAACCTCTTTCCCACGTGACCGCGGCCAGAATGATGCACCCTGCTGGATGCTACTTCCATTCATGTGTTCCAGAAAACGGTGATTTCTACAGATTAGGAGAGAATACATGTTCTATCGTTACTCGCCAGGTTAGTCTGTCATCATGTTTAGTGTACTTTTATATTTTTGCTGATTGTAATGTGGGATTTTATTGCTTTTTTATCTTGATGATTATTGCTGATTATGTAAAGTGACTTTGGGTGTCTTGAAAAGCACTTAAAATAAAATATATTATTATTGTTATTATTATTACATCTGGGAGGCTCTCAGGATATGGGATTCTTCAATAAAGCCACTGTCTGTAATATTTCCTGTTCAGTGGTCGTTTTTGCAAAAAAAAAAAGAAAATGCTCACGTGTGGCTCCAGGGAGGGGGTTTCCTTTGCAGAAGCACCCTCATGAAACAATGTATTAATATGTGCGTGCATGTACACCATTAATTGCAAGTACTCCTTTGTAACAACCAAACCTACCCCTTAGCTCTCAGCATATCGGATTATTTTAACCGAGGATGGTGTTGGATGCTGGATATATCTGCTGTATAGCTGGCCAAATACACTTAGTATGAGCAAGATGATGTTGAAACGGATGATAAGATTCAAAGTGTAAATCTGGGAGCTAACTGGCCTGTCAGCCTTGTGGGATTCGAGGACGGTAATTAGCTCAGCTGTCACAGTATGGTTCAGATGGGTCTTACTCCGGGCCGAGACCGGGCCGGGCCTGGGTCAGATCTGGACCGGATGGAAGAATGGAAAAACACACAGATAGATACAGTGGGGAAACAAAGTATTTAGTCAGCCACCAATTGTGCAAGTTCTCCCACTTAAAAAGATGAGAGAGGCCTGTAAGTTTCATCATAGGTACACGTCAACTATGACAGACAAATTGAGATTTTTTCTCTCCAGAAAATCACATTGTAGGATTTTTAATGAATTTATTTGCAAATTATGGTGGAAAATAAGTATTTGGTCACCTACAAACAAGCAAGATTTCTGGCTCTCACAGACCTGTAACTTCTTCTTTAAGAGGCTCCTCTGTCCTCCACTCGTTACCTGTATTAATGGCACCTGTTGGAACTTGTTATCAGTATAAAAGACACCTGTCCACAACCTCAAACAGTCACACTCCAAACTCCACTATGGCCAAGACCAAAGAGCTGTCAAAGGACACCAGAAATCAAATTGTAGACCTGCACCAGGCTGGGAAGACTGAATCTGCAATAGGTAAGCAGCTTGGTTTGAAGAAATCAACTGTGGGAGCAATTATTAGGAAATGGAAGACATACAAGACCACTGATAATCTCCCTCGATCTGGGGCTCCACGCAAGATCTCACCCCGTGGGGTCAAAATGATCACAAGAACGGTGAGCAAAAATCCCAGAACCACACGGGGGGACCTAGTGAATGACCTGCAGAGAGCTGGGACCAAAGTAACAAAGCCTACCATCAGTAACACACTACGCCGCCAGGGACTCAAATCCTGCAGTGCCAGACGTGTCCCCCTGCTTAAGCCAGTACATGTCCAGGCCCATCTGAAGTTTGCTAGAGTGCATTTGGATGATCCAGAAGAGGATTGGGAGAATGTCATATGGTCAGATGAAACCAAAATAGAACTTTTTGGTAAAAACTCAACTCGTCGTGTTTGGAGGACAAAGAATGCTGAGTTGCATCCAAAGAACACCATACCTACTGTGAAGCATGGGGGTGGAAACATCATGCTTTGGGGCTGTTTTTCTGCAAAGGGACCAGGATGACTGATCCGTGTAAAGGAAAGAATGAATGGGGCCATGTATCGTGAGATTTTGAGTGAAAACCTCCTTCCATCAGCAAGGGCATTGAAGATGAAACGTGGCTGGGTCTTTCAGCATGACAATGATCCCAAACACACCGCCCGGGCAACGAAGGAGTGGCTTCGTAAGAAGCATTTCAAGGTCCTGGAGTGGCCTAGCCAGTCTCCAGATCTCAACCCCATAGAAAATCTTTGGAGGGAGTTGAAAGTCTGTGTTGCCCAGCGACAGCCCCAAAACATCCCTGCTCTAGAGGAGATCTGCATGGAGGAATGGGCCAAAATACCAGCAACAGTGTGTGAAAACCTTGTGAAGACTTACAGAAAACGTTTGACCTGTGTCATTGCCAACAAAGGGTATAGAAAAGTATTGAGAAACTTTTGTTATTGACCAAATACTTATTTTCCACCATAATTTGCAAATAAATTCATTAAAAATCCTACAATGTGATTTTCTGGATTTTTTTCCTCATTTTGTCTGTCATAGTTGACGTGTACCTATGATGAAAATTACAGGCCTCTCTCATCTTTTTAAGTGGGAGAACTTGCACAATTGGTGGCTGACTAAATACTTTTTTTTCCCCCACTGTAGTTGATACAGGAGTTCCTCAAAGACACAAAGCCAGCCAGCGTGCCAGCCTCCTCTCCCTAAGTCCCTGCCATCAAATCCACTCTCCCCCTAATGAAGTGGCTGACATGACTTAAGCGCTCTCCATCTGGCTGCGCAGTGAAAATTGGGTTATGGAGACAAGACGGGGTCTCCTCCACCTCCCCGCCATAACACACATGCACTCAGACTGTAGCTTGCTGGAGACATACCTGTTTACTGCACCGTAAAGTAGAGCATGGATGGCAACCGTTTGGTGGATGGGGGAGGAGGAATAACAAATGGGAAACGCATCATGGTAGTGCAGAATACTGTACCCTACAGTGTTACTTAGCTACATGGGCTGATGTTATGTGTGTAATACTCATGTGTGTGTTGTCTCAAGAGATGTTGTGCCTGTAGTATGTATGTATGTATGTATGTATGCTTGCATGCATGCATGTGTGTAGGTAGCCTACACACTGTACACTAGAGATTTGACCACTTCATTATATTACAGTATGACATTTCTGCTGAGATAAAATATTGCATGATATTACATGCATGACAGAGTGCATGCTTGCACGCATGTATGTCGGTAGCCCACATACAGTACACATGAGATTTGTCCTGCCCAGAGGAATCTCCAGAATTATACCATTATATTCAAATATTACCTTCCTTCTCTGGAATGTGGAATACCATTCGCAACTAGTTCGGTTTACATTTTGATGTATATCCAGTGTGAACTGTATGAGTAAAGATGCCAGACATAAATGATGCAGATAACTGATTTATTTCCCAGATTTGCCCGTGCCTTATTATTGGAGCCATTAGCTCATTCCTGGGCACTGCCTCCCCAAGAGGCCCTCCCTGCAGGAGCTTGTTTGATTGCAGCCTCACAGCTGGCTTGTGATGTGGGCCTGAATGGAATGATGAAGGGAGGAGGGGAGGGGGGCGAGTCAGTTGCCCCCAGCTGTGAAAATCTGAAAATCAGGCTGGACCCTGGTGCTGGATTGGGAAGAGAGGTGGGAGGAGTCTCTCTCTTTATCATTCTCTCTCCCTCTCTATCTGTTTGTGTGAGAGAGATAGAATAGACAAACAAACATGCACGTACACACACGCACGTCCTCAGCAGCATCATCGCCTGCCTGGGTGGAGGATATAAAAGCCTGCACGGTCCCTGCCCTGCTGTAGAGAGGCAGGACTCCCTCGCTGTTGGGCAATTGGGCAACGGAATGGAATAGCCTAAAGTAGATGACCGTGTGTGTGTGCGTGCGAAACGCAAATATGCGACAAACAGCAAAAGTAAGAGACACAAGTACGGAACAGACATAACCACATTTCCCATGAGAATATCTGTCATCCTCCGTGGCATGCAGTGTGGGGACATTCCAGGGCTCGTCTCATTTGTGTCCTTGCTGTGACTGCTGAGAGAGAGAGAACGAGAGAGAGAACGAGAACGAGAGAGAGAGAGAGAACGAGAGAGCGAGGGAACAAAAAAAGCAACTGAGACCAAGACTGTATTTTGTGTTGAGGCACAAACACACTGATGATGCATGGGGGGCAGGAGACCTGTTATTGCCGTTATTGCTTCAGCTGTTCCATTTGGATGAAGAATATCTTTCATGGGACGTGTGAATGGACTATAAAACAGGGAAACAGTCTTGGGTGTGAAAACATTGTGTTAATGAGGACCACTTCCATTCAAGAACCTCTCGCACTGTGCTGCCATCATTATTGTCATAATGAAGGGTGTAGTGCCAAGGCAGAACAACGCCCTCTGTGGGTCTGGATGGTCTAGGTCAAAAAGCACCTTCATATGAATATATGACTTAATGGGCAATTAAAACAATTTACTCCCATCTCCCAACATTACATAAAGAGGGTAAAATATCCATCACTAAAAAGGTTTGAGGGAGCTTTCCCACATTCCTTTGAATGAAGAATGAATAGCATTTGATGAGTATGGTCTTAGATGCTTATTGAGTATATATATATTTTTATTTAACTAGGCAAGTCAGTTAAGAACAAATTCTTATTTACAATGACGGCCTACCCCGGCCAAACCTGGACAACGCTGGGCCAATTGGGTGCCGCTCTATGGGACTCCCAATCACGGCCGGATTGTGATACAGCCTGCAAGATGCAGTGCCTCAGACCGCTGCGCCACTCGGGAGCTCCAAGTATGAACTGGACTGTGAATGTGATGATGTGAAGCAGAAGGATTTCTCATGCATCACCCTTTGTTCTAGACCAGGGTTTTAGTCAATAGGGCACACTGTAGCAAACAGTTTAAAAATGAAAACCAAGTGGTTCCTGTTGGACAAGTCCAGGTAGTCCCTCCCTGCTTGTCTGTTTTCTTCCGTTTGGTGAACTTCAGGCCCGTTAGCATTAGGGTTGTCCAATTTATTTTTTCTCCCAAACCTAGCTCAAATTTTAGACGTTGGATTAAAACAAGGCTACAGCGTCCATAAGGTGACCATTAGACTTAGATACATTTCTAAAACCAGTCGAGCAACTCGGTTGCTGCGCAACAGTAGCAGCTAGCTAGTAGAAAGCCAGCAGCTTTAGCTGGCTAGCTAACACCAGTTGGATGAGAAGCAAAATAAAATAACTACCCAGCTAGCTAGGTATATTTTGTTGTGGAAGGTTTTCATGTGGCTGAAGACAGTCATCTGTGCAAATCTGTCGGCACCATTAAACACAATATGATGGTGCCGACAGATATTGCAGCTCTGCTTCTAGCTCCTAAGCAAACTGCTGACCTGGACACTTGCGCGTAATAAGAGAACAAACAAATAAGCTAGCGAACCTCCTATTGGCTGCTATTATAGCCAGTTAGATACACCAAACTTTGGGAACTTTGGGGAAACTGCCACGCTGCTAATTATAATTCATGCACACACCAGACAGACGTGATGCTGTTAGAAGATCCAGAGCAAATTCTAGCACTTACCTTATACATTAATTCAGTTCGCTCCCTCCTCTGTCAATGACATTTTCTTCTTGTCATTATAATCCAAATTTATGCTGACTGATCAACACAGTGTCAAGTTACTTTTCAATGTGTTCCCGAAAACCTGAAGTCTCTATCCACAAGTAAAAAGTAGCAGGGGTGCAGGTTGCACACAAAGCATCCAGGTAAAACAACAACATCATAATGATCATTGTTTGCTTGCGTGACCTGTGCGCAGACAAAAGAAAACGCCATGCTTGCTAACACATTCCTGTAAAGCTTAGAGAGGAACTCATGTTAAATACTGTTGAAGTAATATGGCTACAGGTTCATCTGCCTCACCTAAAGCCCATTATTGTGGGAAGCTGTTATAGACCACCAAGTGCTAACAGTCAGTATCTGGATGACATGTGAAATGCTTGATAATGTATGTAATATCAACAGAGAGGTATATTTTCTGGGTGATTTAAATATGGACTGGCTTTCATCAAGCTGCCCACTCAAGAAAAAGCTTCAAACTGTAACCAGAGCCTGCAACCTGGTTCAGGTTATCAGTCAACCTACCTGGGTAGTTAGAAACAGTACAGGAATGAAATCATCAACATGTATTGATCACATCTTTACTAATGCTGAAGAAATTAACTTGAAAGCAGTATCCAGATCCATTGGATGTAGTGATCACAATATAGTAGCCATATCTAGGAAAACCAAAGTTCCAAAGGCTGGGCCTAATATAGTATATAAGCGGTCCGACAATATGTTTTGTAGTGATCGCATTCACAGAGAGACGGATAAACCATTCTTCTGTGTATAAAGTGACGCGGGCCGGCAAAGAAGCATCTAACAAAGCACTTAGCTGTTCTACGAGAAGTCTGAGGCAGGCGTTAGCTTACGAGCATTTTCAAGTGCAACTTTAATAAGGATGGTTTTGGTAAACAGCTCGGAGATTTAACGATGCTCCTACAAAGGTTCTAATGATGAACTTAGCCTTAAGATGCTCTTGGGAAACAGGGCCCAGCTCTCAAACTCTGCTCCCATCTGTTTTCATATTTATATAGCCATTAATAAATGTGGGAATCTAAGAACATTTGAAGCTAAAGGATTTAGAGCACCTATCCATCAGATTTGTAAGTACACTAAATGACCGAAAACATCTCATTCCAAAATCATGGGCATTAATATGGAGTTGGTCCCCCTTTTGCTGCTGTAAGAGCCTCCACTCTTCTGTGAAGGCTTTCCACTAGATGTTGGAACATTGCGGCGGGGACTTGCTTCCATTCAGCCACAAGAGCATTAGTGAGGTCAGGCACTGATGTTGGGCGATTAGACCTGGCTAGCAGTCAGTGTTCCAATTCATCCCAAAGGTGTTCAGTAGGGTTGAGGTCAGGGCTCTATGCAGGCAAGTCAAGTTTTTCCACACCGATCTGGACAAACCATTTCTGTATGGACCTCGCTTTGTGCACGGGGGCATTGTCATGCTGAAACAGGTAAGGGCCTTCCCCAAACTGTTGCCACAAAGTTGGAAGCACAGAATCATCTAGAATGGCATTGTATGCTGTAGCGTTAAGATTTCCCTTCACTGGAACTAAGAGGCCTAGAGCGAACCATGAAAAACAGCCCCAGACCATTATTCCTTCTCCACCAAATTTTACAGTTGGTACTATGCATTGCGGCACGTACAGTGGCTTGCGAAAGTATTCACCCCCCTTGGCATTTTTCCTATTTTGTTGCCTTACAACCTGATTACAAGATTTTTTGGGGGTTTGTATCATTTGATTTACACAACATGCCTACCACTTTGAAGATGCAAAATATTTTTTATTGTGAAACAAACAAGAAATAAGACAAAAAAACAGAAAACTTGAGCATGCATAACTATTCACCCCAAAATTGAAAGAATATGTCACCACAACAAACCTGCCAAGAGAGGGCCGCCCACCAAAACTCACAGACTAGGCAAGGAGGGCATTAATCAGAGAGGCAACAAAGACACCAAAGATAACCCTGAAGGTGCTGCAAAGCTCCACAGCGGAGATTGGAGTATCTGTCCATAGGACCACTTTAAGCCGTACACTCCACAGAGCTGGGCTTTAGGGAAGAGTGGCCAGAAAAAAGCCATTGCTTAAAGAAAAAAATAAGCAAACACATTTGGTGTTCGCCAAAAGGCATGTGGGAGACTCCCCAAACATATGGAAGAAGGTACTCTGGTCAGATGAGACTAAAATTGAGCTTTTTGGCCATCAAGGAAAACGCTATGTCTGGCGCAAACCCAACACCTCTCATCACCCCGAGAACACCATCCCCACAGTGAAGCATGGTGGTGGCAGCATCATGCTGTGAGGATGTTTTTCATCGGCAGGGACTGGGAAACTGGTCAGAATTGAAGGAATGATGGGTGGCGCTAAATACAGGGAAATTCTTGAGGGAAAACAGTTTCAGTCTTTCAGAGATTTGAGACTGGGATGGAGGTTCACCTTCCAGCAGGACAATGACCCTAAGCATACTGCTAAAGCAACAATTGAGTGGTTTAAGGGGAAACATTTAAATGTCTTGGAATGGCCTAGTCAAAGCCCAGACCTCAATCCAATTGAGAATCTGTTTTACGACTTAAAGATTGCTGTACACCAGCGGAACCCATCCAACTTGAAGGAGCTGGAGCAGTTTTGCCTTGAAGAATGGGCAAAAATCCCAGTGGCTAGACGTGCCAAGCTTATAGAGACATACCCCAAGAGACTTGCAGCTGTAATTGCTGCAAAAGGTGGCTCTACAAAGTATTGACTTTGGGGGGGGGGGGGGGGGTGAATAGTTATGCACGCTCAAGTTGTCTGTTTCACCCAAAAAAATATTTTGCATCTTCAAAGTGGTAGGCATGTTGTGTAAATCAACTGATACAACCCCCCCAAAAATCAATTTTAATTCCAGGTTGTAAGGCAACAAAATAGGAAAAATGCCAAGGGGGGTGAATACTTTCGCAAGCCACAGTAGGTGGAGTTGAGTATAGTGGACTTACCTGTTGTTTAAGGAATCTCTGGAAGTCTTTATAGGTTCTGTTTAGTTGGAGAAAGGGGATCACCTATATACACCTGGCCACAAGGAAGCAACTATTGTTTTCTATCAATAGTTAACTAATATAATGGTTGTTTATGAGTCATTCCCGTAAAAACTGATCAAAGTACAAAATAACAGGATAATATCTATTTCCTTCTCATGGCACGTTTCTTATTATCATCAAAAGGGAGGAGCATATATTGCTATTGGTAATAAGGAGACAGACAGACAGATAGATGGAAGGACAGTGGGACAGAGAAAGACCTTTTTACTTCAAAAGACCAAAAGGGTAGCTAGTTTGTTTAATTCCCTTGCTGGATGAAGGAAGGACAAGTGAGCTGGATGGAAGGTTTTGTATTTGGCAGCCTTCTTTAAAATAACAATCATGTGGAGAGGGAAGCGTTCAGTGGTTATGTGGCGACTAAACGCCTCCTCACCTCGTGATAAGAGATAACGCCTCTGACATTTCAATGTCACAGCAACATCAACTGTCTTTTTTGGGCGGAAAGGTTGGAGAGGTCAGGAATCGAATGAATCAATAATCTCATCCTATTACTTCAGCAGCCAGTCAGGCTCATTTCCAGCCAGAGAGAAAATAGAAATTCAGCATTCATACATCTACAGTACATTTCCCTCGCAACGAGCAGATGCTGAATGATTGTGAGCAGCACACTTAAAGGCCTGAAGGACACACAGGAGAACAGACAGACCATAGACAGCCCATAACTCTGAATAGGAAAGAGTGGAATGAGCTCATAGTCATACAGTACTGCATGATGGTTCATATTGCAACAATGCAAAGGCTTGGAAACATAATGAATGAGACTAGGAATAATGATGTGTACCTACCTGATTGTGGAGAAATGGTTAAATGAAGACAGTGAGTCATTTCATATTGGTGTGTTGCTGTCTAGCAGCGAAATAAGATTTCTAGAAGAAGATGTTCTACCCATGACCTCCTAATGTGGGCTGTTTCAATGTTTCTGTTCTTTCAAGCACGCTTCTTTCAAGTGACTTAATTCACGGTTACAAAAGCATGATATAAAGCTAAGTAATGCTCAAGTAAATTCTGGATACCACTCACGCACATCATTTTGCCTGTTTTAGGGAAACATTTTATGACGAGCTCAAATTGCCCACTCAGTACAGATGAGGCACAGCTGCTGAATGAAGCATGCTGGGTAGTCTGCCTGTCAGTGTGTGTGTGTGTATGTGAGTGGCAGGCTCTGACTCAGCACATTAATGTGGGGTGCAGAGAGAAGGGGAAGCAAGCGAGAGAGAGACCATTGATGTGGGCCACAGAGAGAGAGAGAAGAGCGAGAGACAGGCTCTTTTATTGCCTAATCCAGTTTAGGAGATGAATCCAGCCTTAAATCTAATATCCCCATAAATGATTCCTCCTGTATACATGAATCACTGACCTTACCAGGGGCGGTGTGTTCAATAGGGCGATATGGGCGACGCACTGCCAAACGGGAAAAGGAAGGGATTTTTTTTCTAATCAATTATATCACGGCAACAGTAGTTATCAGTGTTGTAATGTCCAATCAGGCTAAAGTCGTGCTTCAAATGGCTCCCCCCCCTTTTGGGGCGATTTCAGTCAGGTTGAAAATCGCCCAGAAGTCTGTCATAGACTCCCATGTAAAATCTATTTTTTTCAAATTTCAGAGCTTTCAATACAATCTCTATGGGTGTCTGAGGGCTTGCACTTACGCGCTTTCGTCATACGTAACGTAACCATGAACGTAACTAAGAAAAGAGCGGATTGTGTCTTTGAAAGAAGTTCCTTTTTGTCGGCGAACAAATGAAGATAAATTGGCAACGAAACAATTAGGACCTCCCAGACCAAATTTAATAATTCAACAGGTTTCTACTAAAGGCGGAAAGTCCTACACCCGAGGATTTTCCAAAAATTGGTACGAACGAAAAAATAACATTGCCACTCAACTGGATGAGGGATACAGGCTAGCTGTCCGCCGCCACAACGATGAGGTTAGTGTTGATAATCACAAGTTTACTGGAGAACTGAGACCAAGTAGAGACTTTGGACAGGGTGGATATGGTATAATAAAGGCAGTTTATTCAGAGGTAAAGATATCTGGAATCGCGTGCACGGACCCGTTCGTCAAACTCTTAGGGAGCTATACATTAAGCCCCATTACTTACCATATCAGATAAGAGAAATTGCTGCAGCTACATATATTTTACATCCTGGCCCTACATAGTTCACTATTTGCATCACTTACCAAAATATTACATGTGGTCATATATGCTTGGAAAGTGGAGATGCCATAGAACGTCAAAAAAGTAAACATTGCTGGAGACACATTGCCGTTTTGGAGAAGACATCGCGTTTGCTAGCGAAGAGATTTGTTGTGGCAAATGAACTTGGGCTGGGAATTGCCAGGAACCTCACGATAAGATATATGCATTGCGAGTCTCATGATTCTATACGTATTGCGATTCGATACTGTGATTTTATTGCGCACCATATGTCTGTTGCAGAGGGATCAGAAAGCCATGAGAACGAGTTTTGATCAGTCATGGAAATAAAAGTGCTGAAAACAAATTGGCTCCCAATGTGAAAAGATTGAGAACAAGCTATGAAGGAACAATAATGGTGTTTTGGTGCAGGTACAGCCAACTAGCGCTAAAATATTGCGATATTGTCAATACAGTATATCGTAAAGTATCACTATGTAACTCGATTTCTTTCACCCCAATCCCTCAAATTAACGGTAAATAACTGAATTGTTTGCCCCACATTTAGCTAAGATGATTAGCTAGCCAGCTAAAATGTTTTATTTAGTTAGCAGTCGCATCTACAATAGTTTACTGTCAATAACATGTCTCCAAAAATGACGTGGTGTCTCCAATTGTGTTGACATTTTACAATTGCGATGCGCATCCATGAGTATCCACTTTCTGTAGCTCAGCTGGTAGAGCACGGCGCTTGTAACGCCAAGGTAGTGGGTTCGATCCCCGGGACCACCCATACACAAAAATGTATGCACGCATGACTGTAAGTCGCTTTGGATAAAAGCGTCTGCTAAATGGCATATTATTATTATTATTATTTTTATCTGAAGAGAGCCCCGAAACATTGTGTGCAGACATTTTATGCAATAAATGAAGTAGGTTGAATCTAATAGTTCTGATCTTCTGATTGGTCCTGATGAGTTGGGCGAGGTCCCCTCCAGGCTACTGTCACTGTTGCATTGGCTCTGAGTCGGGTTCTCTGTCTTCAAATGTTCAGCCTAAGAGAGGGGATTTTTGTGTGTGTGTGTGTGTGTGTGTGTTTAACAGTGATGATGTGTGTGTGTGTGTGTGTGTGTGTGTGTGTGTTTAACAGTGATGATGTGTGTGTGTGTGTGTCCTCAGAGCAAGAACTCGTGAGTTGGAAGAACTGAGAGGCCTATGGCGTGGGTGTTGTCCTTGGCCACCTGCTGACAAGGCTGACAAGATAGGACCCTTTTGTCCATTGTTATTGGATAGGAACAGAACTTATAACCAGCTCCTGACCTAAATAGATCTTAGCACAACATTTTACTCAACATATCATATTCCATATTCACTATAACAAATATATTTACTACGACATTAGCAAGAACCGCCACATCCTCAGCCGGCTAATCCAGTGTGTGAAGTTTTGCGGAGTGTTTGAGTTAGCTTTGCGAGGCAAAGATGAAACTGAGGGCTCCACCAACCCTGGTAAGCCAACACTTTTGAGATCAGTCAATAAATGCTTCTGGTATTGACTTATATGCTGCCCCTGTCTTCATGTTGTTGCTGGACATATCTTTTTTAAAATGTGTGTAGGTCACCTAAATCATCAGAAAAATTGCCCCCCCTGAGAATTTTTTCAGGAGCCGCCACTGGACCTTACCCAATAACAGCACTCTATTCCAGCCACGGCCAATAGAAAGACAGAGACAGTGTGTGTGTGCGTGCGTCTGTGTGAGGATGCAGGTTTAAATGGCCTGTATGAAAGCATCAAAGCTGACAATGGAGTTCTCTCTATTCCTCCCAAAGCTTATCAACATTGTTTTATTCCTTCCTCTCTCTAGTCTAATAGTATATTCCAGGCACCATGCGGCGGTTCACTGACCTGCTCTATGAAACCAATAAAATGCATCGAAAATGTGACCATTGAAAGCAGCTCTACCTTGGGAGACATGTTGAGGAAAGGGGGACTAAACTGAAGTGAACGCTTTGTGTCTAGCTAGACTCCCCGGTGAGAGAGAAAGAACTGACAGCTTTTTACAGCAGCACAGGACAATTATTCCTACAACATCTGTCCGGACTTCTAGGTTCCCAAACCCAATATTTGCTGCCAACACTAACATTTATACAGCGAGGGTCTGTATTTGCTCAATGTCTGTAAACCATGCCATATTAATGTCTGGAATTTAGTACGAAATATTAATGTCTGGAATTGGAACGGATGGCTAGGGACACCTCTGGGTCATCTCCCCCTCCCCCATTTCATGATTAGTCTTTCCCACTCTGCTTTTTCTTTTCCCTCTCTCTCTCTATGCATCATCCTCTCTCTACCCATCCTATCCTCTCAAACCACAACTGAGAGAAAAGCAATTATGTAGAGGCGATTGGGCCCAATTTAACCCATTGACTGTGCTTTCCAAACTAAACTGAGTGACTTTTAATCTCTGGGGGAAACTTCCCATGTCAATGTCCAGGTAGATACCAGAATGTTGCTCAGCTGCACAATTTTTTTTACAAAAGGCAATACATTTCTAAAGATAAGTGATCAACACATGTATACAACTTTTTACATATTAACTTTATTATTCCAGCATAATCTGAGATAAGGCATCACATCGGTTCAAATCAGGACAACAAAGATATAGCGAGACAAAAGGCTTGGCTTTCATTTATATGTCGAATAATACAATTTGACCTTTTTAGCAAAAACATCACAGTGTATCATAAAGGCAGCATTGCAGAGAAAGAGAGAGAGAGAGAGAGAGAGAGAGAGAGAGAGCGAGAGAGAGAGAGAGCAAGACCAACATCAAATGAAGCAGAAAGGTTGGCCAATATGGGTCACCATGGCCATCGCAACCAATGAGGGCACAGTGAACTATTTATGATGCAATGATAGGCTACATGTGGTGAGTCATTGTTTTTACAGCACATTTACTAAATTAATGTTTAAAAAACAAATAAGTAAATTAACCACATTTGTTGTGATCCATCTAATAGAACAGAATTGGGTGCTAAAATAAGGTAATAAGGCTTTCATCTCATCATTTTAAATAATCAGTCAATAGAAACCAACACCAAACACAAGGTAAGACACTGGCCACATGACTCTTGAAAATTGTCCCAAAATCTTTGGCTAGACATTTTAAATGTTAAAACCTATTTACTATCGGGTTCAGAAGCGGAAATAAACATGGCAAACAATTACAAAAAAAATCCCAGAAAAAACACTTTCAAAATAAAGCACACTGTCCCAAGAAAGTTCAATTTACAAAGTAACACAAGGCACATAGGGTGGATGTCAGTAAACCACAGATACAAAGAATATTGTGGAGATTGTCTCCTTGTACCATTAGATGCAAGGCCCATACTAGCATGGTAGCGTTCTGTGGCAATAAGACTGATTGCGGTGATTGTCTACAGATTTACCATAGAAAGCAGGCCTATTGTGGTGACTGTACTTTACCACATATACTATTGGTGATTGTCTACACATGACTTACCATTGATACTTATGATTGTTAACACATTTACATTATAGTCATTTAGCAGACGCTCTTATCCAGAGTGACTTACAGGAGCAATTAGGGTTAAGTGCCTTGCTCAAGGGCACATTGACAGATTGTTCACCTAGTCGGCTCGGGGATTTGAACCAACGACCTTTCGGTTACTGGCCCCACACTCTTAACCACTAGGCTACCTGCTGAAACACCATTGTGATCTCCTTGCCTGGCTACCCATCCACATTGCTCCGGCCAACGGACGTTTCTTCTCCAAGATGCGTCTGGATTTGCCTCCCTCCCCGACGATTTCTAGAATGCAAACACAATCTGACCAATCTGATTGGTCCCAGAAACCGATGGGTTGGGCCAGAGCCAGCCTACCTGATGAAATTATCAACTTTGATTCTCTGATTGGTTAGATTTGTTATAGACGATCCAATCACTGATGAATTTGTTTTGAAGTCACACAAACAACTTCTAGGATGGCAGTTTCAGACTGAATATATGTAGCGATTGATAGAGCAGAGGAATTAAATTCAGGGTGAGTGGTCAGGCAAGTGATCACCCAGACAGACACACAGCTCAGTCTATGAGTGGACCAGTTTGATGCCCTGTCCCGTGTCCAGTATATTGGGAGGGAACCAGCCCAGTTTGAATCGCCTGAAGCACCTCAGACACACTCCACACAGCCAGAGGAGGTTGAGCCCACAGCACCAGTTGGACAGGTGCACCAGAGGATAGGTAGCCTGGGGGAAGTGGGTCTTCCAGTGCTTGGCCACATCGCTCCCCGTGGGAAGATGGAGCGTGTAGTCGCTCCAGTGTTTCGACACGCCGTAGGCCGCTGCCACCGTCCTGTCCTTCTCCAACCACTGGGTGGCGCTATCCGGGTTGCAGTTGAACTCCACCCACTCCGAGGTGAAGTCCCCGAGGCGGGCGGCGTCCACACCTTCGATGTCACCGGCGGGGGCGAGCTCGGCCCCTTGCACGGCCACGTAGACTCCCTCCAAGCTGCGGACCTCCTTTACCCAGGGCAGGGAGTTCTCTGTGTCCAGGACCAGGATGAGGCGGGAGGTGAAGCCGCTGTTCTTCTCCTTCCACCACTCCAGCAGCTGCTCCAGACGCAGAGAGTCTCCTCCTGGAAGAGAGAGAGAAATAAACATGTTTCTAGCTTAATAACCACAACCTAGTCTTAGGCTGGGACCAACAAGGAACAACCATTTGCGAAAAGTTGATATGATCTATATCATAACATGCACAATGGAAACAAAAGGAACATGTGACTCGTCAAGTTATTTGTCAAATCATCTCTATTGTTATTCTGAATACCATCTACAGCTATACGCCTGTATGGCCTATCCCTAGTCTAAGGCGCCTAAATCTTGAGTTACAGGGACATTCTGTTTGGACACCCCTCCTCTGTGGCAAATATGTGAGCGGCGTATGAGTGTCTATATGTGTGCGTGAGCAGCCTGCGTGAGTGAGTGAGAGTGCCAGAGACACCCCCCAGCACGCTCTTCCCAGACTGTTCTGTAAAGCTCCCACGCCAGCCAGGGCCCGGGTTGTTTTTCCCCCTCGGCCTCCACTGCTCAAACACTGCGACACAGGGTATGACACGCAGTATCCTTCATGAGGATTAATACGGCAGTGTGCTCCATGGCAGGAAGATTAAGAGGTGCCCGTAGATGGAGCCAAGATAAGATATTTCTTTACAGCTTGGGGAGCTGCTCAGAAAGGGAACGGTTAGGAGGAGCGATACTGTGTGGTCGCGACACACTGATGTTTTAAGTAAAATGTGGGTTTCAGGGGAGCACCGGGATACTATACTGTGGCCACGTTGATGTTTTGACACATATTACTAGAATACTTGGTTGGTCCGTAGTTGGATCTGTATCTTTAGGAAGACAATACATACTAGTTTTTTTTTTATTCACCCTGAATGTTAGGAGTTTAGCAGCTAGTTTGATAACAAGGGTTTTAAAAAATTACAGTATGATTAACATATATTCCTTCCATAGTCCATTAAAGAATAATTGGGTAATGGGTTAATAATAATACTAATTATCTACTTATTACAGCTGACTTGCCCGATGAGTCACGATGACTGTTAGGTTAAGGTAGGTGGTGAGCAAGTAATGGACATTAAAGACAAAGGGTCAAAGTTGTCTGAGTTTATGGAGACAAATAAAAGTTAGGAGTGGGAGTTAACAACATGGTCAAGTCATGTTTAATTGTCATGGAGCTTGTCTTCCTAGCAGCACCATGCAGTGATAAAGCCAGTGGCGGCTCCTGAAAAAATTCTCAGGAGGGGCAATTTTTCTGATGATTTAGGTGACCTACACACATTTTAAAAAAGATATGTCCAGCAACAACATGAAGACAGGGGCAGCATATAAGTCAATACCAGAAGCATTTATTGACTGATCTGGGGAGATGGATTCCAGTTTCTGTGACAGATTATAAATAATCTCTGATGCCTTTGTTATATTAGCTTTTGGTTGAATGTACTGTCGTAGTAAATATATAATGTTATAGCTTGGTCTGACTAAAATCTTGTGCATGACCCATTTTGTGTTGGGCGTTTGTTTTCAATCAATGCTGTTCCTATCCTATAACAATGGACAAAAGAGTCCTATCTTGTCAGCCTTGTCAGCAGGTGGCCAAGGACAACACCCACGCCATAGGTCTCTCAGTTCTTCCAACTCACGAGTTCTTGCTCTGAGGACACACACACACACACACACACACACACATCATCACTGATAACACACACACACACACACATCATCACTGTTAAACACACACACACACACACACAAAAATCCCCTCTCTTTAGGCTGAACATTTGAAGACAGAGAACCCGACTCAGAGCCAATGCAACAGTGGAGGGGACCTCGCCCAACTCATCAGGACCAATCAGAAGATCAGAACTACTAGATTCAACCTACATCATTTATTGTATAAAATGTCTGCACACAATGTTTTCGGGGCTCTCTTCAGATAGCTCCCTAAGAGTTTGACGAACGGGTCCGTGCACGCGATTCCAGATATCTTTACCTCTGAATAAACTGCCTTTATTATACCATATCCACCCTGTCCAAAGTCTCTACTTGGTCTCAGTTCTCCAGTAAACTTGTGATTATCAACAGTACACAACGGTAACAAACAATTGGGGGAACTCACGGGGCAGATAGTAAGGTCGCAGTGACACAGAAAGCAGTTCAATGTCGGGGGTACAGAGTCGCTCTCTTACCAGGATCGCGGTCCGCTCTGACCAGGGTGAAGCCGGCCGGCTCCACTTCTCTGTCCGGGACTCTGTCATCCAGCCAAGTCTCCCAGCTGTATTGGATTCCGCTGCCAGCAGCGTTTTCATTATTTAGTCCGTTCGTAGCGGGTATGTACACGATCAACAAGATCAGTCCAAAACCCACCACTGGAAATCCATGGTTGGCAGAATGTTTGTAAACTAAGTCTACAAATTAAAAACATAAAATAACGCCACACTGCAGGTCGCAACAGAGACGCTGCTAGCCGCTATTTTCTTAGTTACGTTCATGGTTACGTCACGTATGACGAAAGCGCGTAAGTGCAAGCCCACAGACACCCATAGAGAATGTATTGAAAGCTTTGAAATTTGAAAAAAATAGATTTTACATGACAGGCTATGAGAGACTTCTGGGCGATTTTCAACCTGACTGAAATCGCCCCAAAAACGGGCGGGGCCATTTGAAGCACGACTTTAGCCTGATTTGACATTTAGTGGCAGTCAGATCAGATTAGAACACTGATAACTACTGTTGCCGTGATATAATTGATTAGAAAAAAATCCCTTCCTTTTCCCGTTTGGCAGTGCGTCGCCCATATCGCCCTATTGAACAGGCCGTCCCTGGATAAAGCGTGGGTGTGTGTTGGCAGCCACTCTAAAGACAAACTTCAGTTATCACACTGGGAAAATGTTGTACTCTTCATTTCTACTAAGAGTCGCATGGATTACTGAAAGGTTCTGGCAGACTACAAAATATTTTGTACTTGTTCTAACTACTGCTGTTGTTCCAGACATTTCTCACAAACAAATGGAAAACTTTAAAATGTTTGGCAAAGCAAGAATACATTATTCTACCCTCATCATCATGTTTTATTCAAACATATAACCTTAATTTGATCCTGTATTTGTATTTTTCATTTTTGATCTAGTCTGGAAACAAATAGGTGCAAAATAAACATTGATTGATGATGAGAGACAGAGAGAGGCAATAAGCTTGTCTGCTGCTTTCTGAGAGTTGAGGAGAGACAGCCAACCAACCAGCCAACTAGCCAGCCAACCAGACTCTGTAAGCTATGGTGACCCTCACCTGCCAGTGCCCAGGCCCCGGTGCGCTGCGTATGCCCGCTGTAGAATACCACGTATGTATCATGGCGGGGCCCGTCGGCCGTGCGAAGCTCCAGGAAGGCCTTGAGCTTGGCCTGCAGGGCCTCCAAGGTCACCCCGCTGGTGGAGTAGTCACAGCCAAACGTCTCGATCATGTGGTGGGAGAAGAGGCGCTGCACGCTGTTCAACATGCCCGTGGAGCGCACGTTCAGCTCCTGCACCTGGTCCGGAGGTAGGAGGGTGGGCTGGCCGTCTGGGCTGTGGAGGGAAGGGAGAGAAGGATGGGTGGATGGGTGGAGGAGAGGAGGGAACGAGAATGGCTGAATAGGGTGGGAGAGGGGAGGAAGAGTATGAATATGAGGAGAGAATGGCAAGTGGAGATGGAGAGCAGAATTGAAAAGAGGAAGATGAGGAGAATGTAGAGGAAGAAACGGAATAGAGGTGAAAGAGAGGTGCAGGCACTGGCAGAACAGTAGAGATGGAATATGAGATAATATGAATGTGTGTGTGTGTGTGTGTGTGTGTGTGTGTGTGTGTGTGTGTGTGTGTGTGTGTGTGTGTGTGGAGGACTAAGATGAGTGACAATAAAGATGAGTTCTGACCCAACGACCCCACAACAAGATTCGGAGGTCAAGACAGATCCATCTGTTCGATCCGACACACCTTTCTCTCTTTCTCTCCACCCCACAGCACCAGGCATAAGGACAGGAGTCAAGGCTGCCCCAGTCTCTGTTACTCAATATAGCCCCACTCACTCTGTATCTGTCTGTCCCTGGCATTGCTCACGACTTTCTCCATTCACTCATATAGACATCTGCATAACTCAAAACATGTCATCTGAAAGCAGAGTTATTATGATCTTGAGAGAGACCTTGGGCTGGAGAGTTGGAGAGAGTTCTGTCTGAATAATGAGTAGATTTTGTCTGAGTAGTTGTATTGAGATGACTGGGGGCAGTGGATGACATGGCTGTTGGAGGCTGATGTGACAGATTTGTTTCACTAACCTGGCCTGGGTCTCTCTCCCTCTCACCCTCTCTCTCCTTGTCCCTGTCTGACTTTCTCTCCTATGCTCTCTGTCCCTCGCCGTTCCCTTCTTCTCCTCCTCCTCTTTCTCATCTTCCCAAGGGGCCCTCATCATTGTAAAAACATGATCTGAACCCATCAAACAGTAGATAATACACTGCTATATTCTCAACATGCACTCTGGTCTCCCGCTGGGGCCTACATCCACAGCCCTGGCATACAGAGCAGATGTATGGGCCTGCATCCGAATCACCACCACAGACAGACAGCAGCTAGCTACTGCTAAGTGCTAACTGCCCTAGCACAAAGATAGAGGTAGAGTCTGAAATGGCACCCTATTCCCTACATAGTGCACTACTTTTGACTAGAGCCCTATGGGTCCTAATCAAAGGGATAGGGTGCCATTTCGGACAGAGAGTAGCCCTGACTGGTCGTAAACACATCTTCCACCCACAGCCACTTAGTATGCCAGGGAGAGAGCAGCCTCAGGGGGGAAACATTAGGGCCATGTTTATGCATGGTTATTGGGATATTTTTCCACTTAGTTTGTCCAGTGAGGGAATTTAAATTATGGTCTGTCCCTCCGGACAGGGATTTTTTGACTTCGGTGCAGGGAAGATTGATGATTGTGGAGAAAAATATAGTGAGTGTGTCTGTGTGTGTGAGGTCTGTGTACGTGTATACTGAATTGTGTGTGCCTGTGCGTGTGTGTCAGGAAAATGTGGCGCCAGACTTTTGACCGGCAGCATTTTAATTTAACAGACATTTGAGAAATTTACCGGACCCATATGCATTGGGCGCTTAACCTGATTAGGGCGTCCACCCAATGACAGAAATCACATTTAGATTACTTATCTTCACAAAACATGCAACGGCGTGCGTCCTTCTTATCGAATTCCAATGCATACTTGATGTAAGAATAACTGCCACATTTACTTTCATCAGCCAACAAGACAAGTAACGAACAGCAAAATCACTAGCCTATGTCAATGTAATATCCCCCATAGTACAAAAAGTTGACCTATTCTTATGGTCAGCTTGTTGTTCTGTGCGAGAAAGAAATAGCCTATTCCAAACTGACTCTGGGACAGTTGTGGGATGATAGATCCCAAATTCATACAACTAGTAGGCCTAGGCTACATAAAATGTTTTAAAGCAATGAGGCTGATGCAACAGAAAAGAACTCTCAGCAAAAAATGTTGATAAACTATTATTTCTTCACATTATAAGCTTAGCAATGTGCACACGTCAGTAAGCTGCGCACAAACGTTTGTTCCATAATGCAATTAGCGGGAAACCACCATTTTCAAAAGCAAACTGCACATGCAAGCGGTTTCATGTGACAGAGATAAAAACATCCATTATACATTTTGAAAGAGGGGAGATCTAAAGATGCAACAACTAGCATGGGTTGCTAATATGACTAGGATTGTGCCTTTGGCTACTGGACAATGAAAGAAAGTTGATTTGAAAACCAATAGAACATGAGAGAAATAGGCTACTGGTTTCAATGGCATATGGAAGTCTTTATAAAAGAATTGCCTCCACGTTTCTATGGTCGGATTTGACTTTGAAGTAAGGTAAGACATGCCTCATAATATGAAGTAAAACGTTCAGGTTTCAAACAGTTAAATATATGTTTTCAAAATGCATACTGCCTCCAGCTCATTGCAAAGTGGTGAGTGACACGCTGAAGCCTGCCTATACCGTTGCCTATATGCACTTGAATGACGAATGGGAAGCATGCTTCAATTACCAGCTGAGAAATAAAAATAGTAGCTTTTTTAAATTGTGGCCATCAAAACAATTTTTTACACGCGATTGCATTTAGAATTTTTACGCAATGATTGGGCTTATAAAAGCAAGTTTCACTCCAGCAGCAACAAACGAGCTGTTTGAGAAGCTGTAGCAGCAGCTCTCACGCTGTGTGACAGATTTTCCACTCATAGGCTCTGTATCTGTATCTCGTGTGATAAACATAACGACTAACGAAAACACACACGTGCCAATTTAATTCCACAAAATTATGCAAATTAACTTATAGACTGATAAGCATAATTGGTCAAATGCATTTACATCAACTTGTATTTCCATTATTTTGCAATGGGATTGTATTTTTCTCCAGGACAATTGGCCGGTGCCAGTTATATTTATTGGCTTTTCATTTTATTTTATTTTTGCCAAAAGCCGGCTATTACCGGCTAATGAAGACCCTGATGTGTGTGTGTACGGTTATATACAGTGCATTCGGAAAGTATTCAGACACCTTGACTTTTTCCACATTGTTACATTACAGCCTTATTCTAAAATGGATTTTAAAAATAAAACATCTCATCAATCTACACACAATATCCCATAATGACAAAGCAAAAACAGGTTTTTAGAAAATGTATTAAACATTTAAAAACTGAAATATCACATTTACATAAGTATTCAGACCCTTTCCTCAGTATTTTGTTGAAGCACCTTTGGCAGCGATTACAGCCTTGAGTCTTCTTGGGTATGAACGCTACAAGCTTGGCACGCCTGTATTTGGAGAATTTCTCCCATTCTTCTCTACAGATCCTCTTAAGCTCTGTCAGGTTGGATGGGGAGCGTCGCTGCAAAGCTATTTTCAGGTCTCTCCAGAGATGTTCGTCAGGTTCAAGTCCGGGCTCTGGCTGGGCCACTCAAGGACATTCAGAGATTGTCCCAAAGACACTCCTGCATTGTCTTGGCTGTTTGCTTAGGGTCGTTATCCTGTTGGAAGGTGAACCTTCGCCCCAGTCTGAGGTCCTGAGCGCTCTGGAGCAGGTTTTCATCAAGGATCTCTCTGTACTTTGCTCCGTTCATCATTGCGTCGATCCTGACTAGTCTCCCAGTCCCTGCCGCTGAAAAACATCCCCCCAGCATGATGCTGCCACCACCATGCTTCACCGTAGGGATGGTGCCAGGTTTCCTCCAGACGTGGCGCTTGGCATTCAAGCCAAAGAGTACCATCTTGGTTTCATCAGACCAGAGAATCTTGTTTCTCATGGTCTGAGAGTCCTCTAGGTGCCTTTTAGAAAACTCCAAGCGGGCTGTCATGTGCCTTTTACTGAGGAGTGACTTCCGTCTGGCCACTCTACCATAAAGGCCTGATTGGAAGAGTGCTGCAGAGATGGTTGTCCTTCTGGAAGGTTCTCCCATCTCCACAGAGGAACTCTGGAGCTCTGTCAGAGTGACCATCAGGTTTTTGGTCACCTCCCTGACCAAGGCCCTCCCCGATTGCTCAGTTTGGCCGGGCGGCCAGCTCTAGGAAGAGTCTTGGTGGTTCCAAACTTCTTCCATTTAAGAATGATGGAGGCCACTGTGTTCTTGGGGACCTTCGATGCTGCAGAAATGTCTCGACACAATCCTGTCTCGGCGCTCTACTGTTGGACCTTATATAGACAGATGTGAGCCTTTCAAAATCATGTCCAATCAATTGAATTTACCACAGATGGACTCCAATCAAGTTGTAGAAACATCTCAAGGATGATCAATGGAAACAGGATGCACCTCAGATCAATTTCGAGACTCTAGCAAAGGGTCTGAATACTGAATATAATAAGGTATTTCTGTTTTGTTTTTTTATACATTTGAAAACTTTCAACAAACCTGTTTTCGCTTTGTCATTATGGGGTATTGTGTGTAGATTGATGAGGACTTTTATTTATTTAATCCATTTTAGAATAAGGCTGTAACGTAACAAAATGTGGATAAAGGGAAGGGTCTGAATATTTTCCGAATGCACTGTACCTGTTGTAGCTGGTAGGGACGACCACAGCGTAGCCCACACACGTGCCCCCCAGGCAGCTGCCCAGCTCATGGAAGAGCCCGTGGGCCAGAGACTCCAGAGAGAGGACCACCAGGAACATACTCATGAACACACCGTTGGAGGGCTGCAACACAAGAGAGCATTTAATTTGTGATTTTTTTAAATGTATTGAAGCATAAGAGAATTTAGCTAGTTAGATACACACATAAAGAAAATTCTATCACAAGGCTTCAGCTCAAAACACCCTTCAAAACACACTCAAGTGAAGCTGTGGGAATGAGTGAGAATGAAATTCCAAGGCCACAATGGACTCTGTTATATAAATTCACCAAGCTGTTAAAATTCAGTAAATACACACAAATTACACAGAAAAAATGGACAACAAAATAATTTTATGCCGTTGCCATGACGATTTCCACGTAGCCTTGCGTTTCCTCAATTACACTTGTGTTACATTCACATTTGCAATTAAAATCCTTATTAAAATCCATATTTTTCCTCAATACGACTTGTCCAATTAGCGAGGCACCAGCAAGGTTACCACATCACTTCAGAGCTCCCTGCTTCATTATTAGCTAGTGAGTTTTGGATGGAGGCAGCAGACCTCTTGTTAAATTCAGGTCCTACTGCCCAAGGCCTCACAGCTGGTCCAGCTTCATCTCCTCAGTTCTCATGACACAGCAACACTGAAGCTCTTATGCCATCCCAGCCTTCAAGCCCTTTTAATGTAGAGCAAGGCTATAGGCCTAGATTATAGAAACAATTCAAGGCTATAGCTAGGCCTATATGTTTGGTAACATGGACATTGCATTGTATATTTTACTTTAAAATGTTGAAGAGTGTGTGTGTGGGTGGGTTGAGTAAGTATCCTTGCTTAAAGACATGCTCCGGTACTTTGGCGACTAAGAAAGTATTTTTTTAAACCTCCCGCTTTGGGCTGGATGTGTTCATACATGCATAATATATAAGCAGAATTACTGTCACCTTAATTAGCCACGGAATCCTTGGTTTGAAAACGACTGCTTTTTTTAAAGCTGTGCCGCGCCATTTTCCCTACATTACCCCCCACGTGGGCCAGCCTCCTAGCAATTCGAGTTCTAGCCAATGAGCTTCAGGCCCTCGCATTTGAGTGACAGCTAGCAAGACGCCTGCCCATCATTATCCAAAGAGGTTGCAGTGCGGGCCCAACGGCTCAATGGACACAGCAGAGAGAAAGCGAGAGAGAGAACAATGACATGGTGCACATACAGTGGGGAGAACAAGTATTTGATACACTGCATATTTTGCAGGATTTCCTACTTACAAAGCATGTAGAGGTCTGTAATTTTTATTATAGG